GGGGTGCTGGGGTCGAAGATTGAAAAGCTCAAACCTACACGGATAATCGAAGATGCAAAGACAAGGGTCCCCCACCCCCATCATGCAACGTCTCTCTCTTTTTCTATGGTTGTCACCTCCTGCCTGTTTATCTCAAACCCCCTCTTCTTCCTCCTCCTCTTCGTCTCCCTCGTTCTCCCTCTCAGGCTCCCCTTCAGTCCCTTTCCCACTGTTTTTTCTCTCCTCTATCTTACCCCCTCTCCATTTCCCTCGCTCCGTGCTCCGTCTCTCCTTCTCACTCACTCACACCCACCCGCCTGCCTCCACCTCTTTTCTCCTCCTCCGGTGCTCCCCCTCCTCCTCCTCCTTTCTCTCTCTCCCGTGTCTACTGCAGCAGAAAATCCTGCACAGACACCAGCATATGTGTGTTTGTACATGTGTGTGTGTGTGTGTGCCACTACGGTAGATCCACGAGCAAGCCTCACACGATCAGGAGCAAAGACGGAGGTGTGATTTTTTTTGTTGTTGTTGTTGGGAAAAAAAAAAAAAAAGCCTTGCGTCGATCGCTCCGATCACAACATTGATTGCTGATGCGTTACATCACAGCCATGCAAAACAAAACCTCCTCAAATCATTAGAGGAACATCTCTCCATCCTGTCCCCCTTTATTTCCTCTGGTCTCCCTCTTCCTCCCTCTGTCTCCCTCTCATCTGTCTCATTGTATTTCCACACCAGCATCTCATTTTTTTTCCACCTTAGCCTCTCTCCGTCTCTTTCTCTCTCTCTCTCTCTCTCTCGCTCTCTTTCACACATATAATTCACATCTCTCAGGATGAACAACCAAAAGGTTTCCTCCACATTGGACAAGACATGAAAATGAAAAAAAAAAACGTGATTTGGGTCAGAACACTGTTTGACGTATAGGTCTGGCATATTAGACCTACAGGGAGAAAAGGGGCTGCGTTCACCAAGAAATGGAGCAGGTGTTGTGCAGCCACTGAAATGAATCCCACCAACTACTTGCTCTACACTCTGCATAACCCCCAGCAGGGTGTCGAATACACCATCTGCAAAATTACACTACACTTAATGAATGTTAGACTTTATATGAATTATGAGAACTGTGGCGTTAAACTGTACATTACATAATAAACAGCTTGCTAGCAGCAGGTACAGTAGCTTCGAATCCAAAATAAATAAAAAATCTGAAAATGCTGCCTCCTCTTGTTCTATGCCCAGAATTCAACACCAAAACCGTTTTACATTCCAGAACATGTTTAGCTTTGCTCCTGTCACATCTACAATTTGGACATTCTGCAGAAAGACGACCTCAATGTGTGATGTTCTGCTTGAGTGTAGGTGGTGAGGGATGGGATAGTAAGAAATCAATTTGATCGAGACAAGAGAGACACTTAAAGAAGCACTTCCTGCTTGATCCTGAGTCCAGAGAGGCGGATCAGGTGGCCTAGATCAGACTACCTGTCTGTCACATCCCCTTACTCAGGAGAGAACTGAATCCAGGATCTATACCTACTGCCGGAAGATGTGTGTGTGCTGCCATTGTCTTTATCCGTTTTCTTTGCAATTTTGCTGAGTGTGCAGTGATTTAAGTTTATCCTCAGCCCTTTTTCGGGGTGAATGCATGATTTGGCCACTGCAGGTGTCTGCTGACTGTCTGGTTTTTTGCATGTGCGCCTACAGGGTGCATGCATTCACAGCGCCTAGGGGTCCTTGAACACCCTCATGACAGAAGAGAAAATGCTTATGACAGAAGCATAAGACAAGGATGATCAAAATCCATCACAGGTTTTACTAAAAAAAAAAACACAAATCAAAGAGGCTGTGATCAAGCAGCTGGAGGGTCCCAGAGAAATTAAGCCCACTCTAACTGTTTTCATGTGCAACATACCAAAAACACGGTCCGGGGTACTTGTTACACAACTACCTGTATGATTAAATGTTTTTTTTCAAGGGCTAAATCGGCAACTTTTTAGCGTTATCGTGGAAACAGGCAAAGCTGATCAAACAAGTTATGCGTAAAAGCTGTAAATCTCGTGCGTAAACGCCATGTAGCATTCAACTGGGACAGGAGGAAAGGCAAAAACAACCCAACAGACCGAAGCTCTACCAAGTCTAAATATGGGAAGAGACTGACACTTAAACACTGACATTTCGACGTCCTGCGAGCCTCCTCAGTGTGCTGCTGCAATAAATAAGACTAAGATGAAATACGGCGCACTGATGTGCATCGTAAACGGACAAATACGACCTAATGAAGGCGTTTGGATGCAGGCAGCGCAGCGGACGGCGCGTTTGGAGACTGATATGTATTAAACCTGCTCGAGGAGCAGAATACAGCGATAGGAATTATGATAGCAATAAAAAAAACTGCATTCAGTGTGAATCCAGCGCGTGTGAAACACAGTGTCAAATCAAGTGTAGGTCAGGAGATGTGTTCGGTTTTTGTTGTATGAAGTAGTAGGACCATCTATCAAAAGATATAGCTGCAATATAATTTTCCATTTTCTCTATGCTATCAACATTAATTATTCACGACAGTAAGTATATATTCTGCTACTTATAATCATACGAGATATACTGTCACATTCCAGCAGCCAGTGGTCTGCAGGAATATATATATATATATATATATATATATATTATATATATATATAAGGGGCTGGTTTATCAGCAATAATATGGGCAGGTGGAATCAAAAACAAACTTTTATGAACTTAGAATTAGTCAAAAAGTGATTTCAAGCTATCTGGGAACAATATGCAACAGTCTATAAACAACTTAAGACGTGGGGGACTCACCCGGGCATATTTGGACGAATAGGGGTCTTCAAAGAGTGCCCAGATTCTGGGCTGCCAGGTTTTCCACCAGCCCGCTTTCCTAGCGTCCTCCTGCATGCACAGTCTTTTCAAGTCCCCGTCCGCACCTCCCAAAGCCGGGTCGTCGTCCGGCGCGTCCGGCTCCGGATTCTCGAAGCTGTCCAGTGCCTCCTCCGCATCCCGGTGCTGCCGGTAATTCATCCAGCAACACGCCTCCACGTCCGTCTCGTCGATGCCCCAGAAGGCCAGCTCCTCCTCGAACAGGGGGCCGCACACATCGTTGGGACAGTGCAACTTCCCAGTGCGGTAATAGTTGAGGATGAAGGAGAAGACTGACGGGTGTCGGTCGAAGAAGAACTCGTCTAATTTCGGGTCGTAGTCAAAGTTGCTGAACGCGTCAGGCTCGGTAAGCCACGATAAGCGGGTACCAGGTAGCGTTTTGAGGGTGCTCCGGTAGGTCTCATGCCGCACCCCCCCGCAATTTATCACGATCTTCTCGCTCTCTGACGGACAAGTCATGTCTGCGCTGTAACATGCTTTGTTGGACGACTTGTTCCCACCCTTGCGCCCTTTGAAAGAGGATACACACACCGAACTGAGCATAGAGGACCGGGGGGGAGGGAGAGGATGAGAGAAACCGAAGGGAGGAGGAGGGAGGAGACTGAGGAGTCTGCGGGGAGAGAAAAGGGCAGAAATTTAGGAGAAGGGAGAAATAGATCTGGATTATCAACATTGCAATACATATGAAGACTTGCACTGCTACATGTATGTGCAGTTATTCACGTGATAATCAGGTGAAGGAAAGGCACAACATGACCTTGTGCAGGTGCAGTGGATGAGGAGGGGCAAAGTTGTTTTTAACACAGCAATCTTGGTGCAAAAACATGCCAGCAACTTATTTCTGCAACACATGTACAGCAGGTACATTTGAGCACATTCTTGAGTCTGCATCCCCACAGTGATGAAGAACTCCCCACCCTGAATGAGTGTGATGTGTTTAGGGTCCAAGCAATGATAAAATCCCCCCCCCCCCCCCCTTCTTTTGAACTATATTTCTAACCATCATCTTGCGTCTCCTGTGTGGAAGAATCTATGAATTGATCTTCTCCATGCTCTGATCGGTGTTCATTCAAATCCTCTCCCTAATTAGGCCACTGTGAGTCCTGAGTATGCATCCTCCTCCCCCTTCCTCTTCTTCCCTTTCCCCTCCTTCTTTTTTCTTACCCAAGCCCGAAAGTGTGTGAGGTTTGCAAAGACTGACAGAGAGATTGGAGAAATTGAGGAAAAAGTGGAGATTCGAATGACTCACTGACGTAACCTGCAGCATCTTGTGTGTGTGCGTGTGTAGCGCGTGTGTGTGCGTGTGTAGCGCGTGTGTGTGTGCATTTGAACATGTGTGTGTTTGTGTTAATTGCCTCCCGCGAGTGCCATGTCCGCACTAATGGTAGATCTCCTCAATCAGCCTGTGTGCATTGCTACACACACTGCTGCAGCCCCCTCCAACTGCACCGAGCTTCAAGTGATGCACAATGCTCTCTCTCTCTCTCTCTCTCTCTCTCTCTCTCTCTGCCACATCTACCATGCAAAGTGTGTGTGAAAGAGTGTGAGGGGGAGATAGAGAGGAGGACGAAGGGAAGGTAGAGGTTGAAAAAGATGAGGGGGGAGGTTATAAATCAGATATTTAAAGGATGGATGAAGAAGGATAGGACAATGAGGCAAACAAAGACCTTCGGATAGGGACAAAAACAGAGAGAAAAGGACACAGTGAATGCAGCATGAGCCCTTTGAGGCAGATGCAGTGAACAGCAATAGTGCAATATTGTCTCTACGCTATTCAAGGAAGAAGGGGAGAAAGAGCATAAGGGGGAGGAGAGGGAGAGCATGGAAAAAGGAGAGTGCCCAATAAAAGTGAATGAATTCTGCTGCAGTAAAAAGCCTGAGTTATTCTCTCTCTCTCTCTCTCTCGCTCTCTCTGAAGACACGCGTCCATACATGCTCCGTATCTATGTTGTTAACCTTTTTCTCTATTCAAAGAAATGCACCACTCTCCTCCTCCCCCCTCCTCTCCTCTCCTGTGAGCTCTCACCGGCCCTCCCCCTCTCGCTCCCTCTACTCTCTCTCTCTCTCTATCTCCCTCACTTTCGCTCCCTCTCTCACTCTCATATTCCGCATAAAGGAATCACATTTTACTGAAGGAGGGGAATCGAGGCTTCATTTCTTCTAACACTTTCTCCTCTCACAACACTGTCTTATCTCTACCTAGTGCCCCCTCTTTTTCATTCTCCCCCTTCATGTCTTCTCTTTCTTCCTCCCCTCTCTTATTGCATTTTACTCTGCTGCATCTTTCTTCCATTTCTCCCCTCTCTTGCATCCGTCCTGTCCCATTTCTTCCCTGAAGTAAGCATCCTTCACTTTGGGTCAACTCTCCTCCTCCGCCTCTTCCTCTTTTTCCCCCTCACACTTTTCCTCTGTCATGTAGGACACTGCAGTCTTTCTCTTTCGAACTTATTTCTAGCGTTTAACTCTGTTTGTTTGATCATTTCACTCCACTTTTTATCTCAAGAGACAACTTTTTGTTGATGGAAAAGTTTGCTTTCTCTATTCTCTTCAGATCTTTCCAAAACATTGAGGTTATTTTTTTGTTTATTTTTTTTAATCACATTTGAGTTTGGCCTTTTTGGTGTAATGTTTTACATTTGGGAGATCCTGGAGACTTATCCGCATTCAGGTAAGATCTTCTAAGACCAAGACTTTTGCATGAGTTTGGAAATGCTGAGGCAGAAATATTTAGCACGGCACACACTTGAAACTATAAACAGATGGTCTCATGTGCATCGAAAAAGAATTATCTAAATTCTGTGATGTTACATGCCTGAAATGTCAACCCTTCTCAACTGTACTAAGTTTTTGCAGTGTTTCCTGCTAATCTTGAAACTGGCTTGCTTGCTAAAATAAAATCTGCATTCTTTTGCATAATTTGTTGTACTGCATCATTCTGAAAAAGTAGTTGAGTCTACATCTTTGCAACTTAATGCCAAGAAAAAAAATAAACCAGGAGTAGTTCAATTAAGGAAGAACGTTGTAAATATTGTGAAAATCTGGATACTTACGAGTTACATACTTTATATTTTCACTTTTTGTATCAATTATTCAATTCTTTGCAGTGTTTTCTGCAGGAGCATCAAATCTGCTTACTTGCCAAAAAAAAAACCTGCACTCCTCTGTGGCTGAGTTGTACTGCATCACTCTGAAAAAGTAGTTTCATCTTTACCGCTCAAAACTGAAACAACACTTGAACCTTTTATTGGTAAAAACGAAACAAGAACAGACACATCAGAAGTTAACAGTGTTAGATGTCTTACATTTCTATATTTTTTTCCCAACTATCAACTAAAAGTCTCTGGTAACAAAAGAAAATCCTGTTCTCCTGTATGGCAGGATGTTACTGCATCATTCTGCCAAACTATTTAAGTCTGCATCTTTTGCAACTAAAACCCAAATAGTTGAAAAAAGAAACACAAATTCTGTTAAGTTAGAAAGCAATGAAGGTGTGAAATAAACAGGTTACTGTCTTGTTAGATGTCTTTAATTTCTACTTTCTTTCCATGTCTTTGCAGTGTTTGCTGCTGGAGCAACTTGCTTGTGACTAATTTTGCATTGTTAGGAATTAATAAAATGTAATAAAATCTAAACAGTTTATAGGCGAGATTAGGGATGAAGTTGGGAGGAGACCTTTGTCATTAGTCAGTTTTCTGCTGTGGGTCTATTTTATGCAGGCTCACTTGTGTTGTGGGCTGGATTAGATTTCAGCACTATGGACAGCACCACTGGCTCCCTTTCTCTCTGAGACAGACTCTGACGGGATGCTTAACTTTTCCAAGACAATCCTCTATGATCTCAAACTTTGATCCATTAGATTCATTTTTTTGGGGGGTTCACTTTGCCGCTTCATCTCTTTTAACTTCTTCATTGGCTTCTGTACCTTATTGGTGAACTGCTGAATATTTTATAATTGGACAGCCACAAGTCTGTAACTGTGGTTGAGTGCTTTTTTGTCCCCCTGAGTCGTGTGTGGCGATCTTATCAATTTAAAAAATATACTTAAGTGTTCCTTTATTCACTGGGGATATTTTGAGTTTAATTAGGGTAGGATGCTATCCCGTTTTTCCCAGCGTTCCTCATAAATTATTGCTTTCAGGTCTTCAAATGTAAATAAAAGTCCTAATCAAGACCAGAATACTAATCTTAATAAGTTTAGGTTAAATGAGTTTGATGCTTTCGAGCTGCAATTCAGGAGAGGGTCTGCAGTTTGAGGGTTTGTGCTAAAAAAAAGGGGGGGGGGGAGGTAGGAGCATCTCTTAAAGGGCCAGCATCACCACTTTTATCACTGGCAGCAGTGTGATCGCTTGGAAAAAACAGCAGAGAAAAGAGGGGAAACGTGAGAGGAGGGAGGTAGTGAGAGGAGAGAGACGCTACGAAAGGTGAGCATTGGGTGTAAAATGGAGGTATAGGGAAGTGGGGATCCAGTGGAGTTTTAACAAAAGGAAAGAGATGTAAAGGAAGGCAGAGCAGAAGAGGCTAAAAACTCAGTGGAGGAGGAGGGAAAGGAGCGGTGAGGAGAAACAACCTCCTCCATAGCTTTTTTTTTTCCCTCTCTCCTGCAGCATTTCCTGCTTCGGCCACCATGTCCTGCGCCACCCTGCTACTACTGCACTCACCAGAGAGGATGGGAGGGAGGGGGATGTGCACACACGCACTCACCTGGCTGCAACAAATATGCTAAGAAAAAACATTTTGAGGTTGGAATAATCATTATGAAGCCGATCGTTTCTGCAGTGGATTGATGGATAAGAGAGAGAGAACAGGGATGAGATAGGAAAAAGTGTGCAAATGGCTCGTGCACGAATCGCGCACTGACACTAATATATATTAGCAGAAACACTGCAGCAAGAAGGGGGGCAGGGAGTGCAGGATTATGGGATGCATGGACTGTGAGGTACCAGCAGCATCAACCGGGGGGGAGGGGAGGAGAGAGTATAGTAGAGAGAGAGAGAGAAAGAGATGGAGACAGATAGAGAAAGAGAAAGAAGGGATGGAGAGAGAGAGAGAGAGAGAGAGAGAGAGAGAGAAGAATTTGGAGGAGTGCTGACTATGCGGAATAGAGTGAGCAGTTGGCGGAGAAAAGGAGAAAGCTTTATCAATCACAGAAGGAGGGAGATGACATGGAGGAATGAGATAATAGGGAAAAGAACAGGAAGGCAGGTGAGGTGGAGGAGAGAGAGGGGAGAATACAAGAGGGGAGGAAAAAAAGGTGTGTGTGTGTGTGTGTGTGGGGGGGGGGGGTTACTGAAAAAGACGCCACCTGAATGGCTGCTAAGGTGTAAGACAGAAATGGGGTTTAAATGGTGCGCAGTTCTTATAAGAGGAATAAAAACATTGCAGTGATGGAGAAAGGAGGAAAGCAAGAGGGAACGAGCGTAAGGATGTGTGTGTGTGTGTGTGTGTGTGTGTGTGTGTGCATGTGTGTGTTTGTGTGTGAGAGAGAAAGAGAGAAAGAAAAGGAGAGCGAGTACGAATTACGTATGTGTTTCTGGTGCGGAGCCATTTTTTTCCCACCCGCTACCTCATCAAAGGATGTTACCACAAGGCTTCACGCTGTTCAATCCATATCATCCCCCTCCCTCTCTCCTTTCCTCACTCCTCTCCCCTTCATATCTACCTTTTCTCCTCTCGCTCTCTCTCTCTCGTTTTCTCTCACACTTCCCAGTGTTGAGGAGACCCCAACAGGAGAAAACAGGGCACTGCAGCGCAGTGAAAAGTATTGCAGTCACCTCCCCCTTTTAGTGCAATGTCACAACTCACACGTCCACCCCCCCCCAAAAAAATAAATAAATAAATAAATAAATAAACAATTCACCATTGCACCTTATGTGTAATTCCAGGAGAGGAGAAAGTGGCCGACCAGGTGGAGAGTTGGGATATACATGAGTAGGTGGCATTTAAATTTGAAGAATGAAAATTGTACAAAATATCATGAATGGATGCAGTGGATGACTAAATAAGGGAACAATCTGGAGAAAAACAAGACCACATATTGAGTAGTGCTGCTAATGTAAACAGAGCAGGGGAACAAACAAGGCATTTCTCATCATAAAAAGGCTCAATTCCCAAAACAGGAATTAAAGAGCCAATCAATTAAGCAAGCAGAAAAAAGGAAACGGCCAATCTACAAGGGGGCAGCTCCTCTACTCGGCAACACCAGCAGGGAGATCTCCAGGGACGAACCAATCCACACACACTGCAGCAAAGACACGCACTCAAGGGGCCTGTGCATATTGGTCAACCCCTAATCCTCTTCCTCTAGACCATGCTGCTGCTGTGTCTCACTTGCGATGTGAACTTTTTCTCCCTCAGAGAAGAAGAATCACGCGCTCCTGGTTTGCTCCTTTTAGCTGGCAGGGGGATGATTAATACATAAGGCCATTTCAGGAATAGAAGAGAGCAGAACTGAAGCTCAGCCAGAGTCCAGAGGAGGATAGTTGTTAAGATTGTTTTAAAGGTAGACATGCCCACAGGGGGAGATTTCACAAGTGACACAAGGAGGAAAAGTGACAGGATGGAGAAAGAGAAAATGAAGTGGTGATGATTGCTGCAGGAGAGGTCAGAATCAGAAAAACCTGAAACACCACGAAGTGCGGGGGGGGAAGCAAAGGGATAGAGTGTCATGTCAGGAAGGGGCTCTATTTTTGGAGCTGGATCAAAATCTGAGTCCTCAGTGCATCTTTTTAAATCTGGCTCTTGAAGAATCAACATCAGGAGCAAACAGCTTTAACCCTGACACCTCCCACGCCTTCTCAGGTCATTTTAACCTGTCAACTCCTAATGACGCTGCTCTTCTTACATGATTAGGACCATTACGGACCAGCAGTGCAATGACATGGAACACGTGGTTATTGCCCTGTCTTCTGGCCTTTAAACTACCCAGGAATTAGACTACTAACAGTTAGAGGAAGTTGTGTTTCGGAGAGTAAATAAGATGAAAGGTGAGGCTCAAGGTCAAGGCTTTGGGTTTTTAAGAGCTTGGACCAGGAGTCAGCTAAGGGACGGAGGAAAAGTTATCTGCAGGAAAGAGAGAAACTATCATAACCAAGGACAGAGGACAGGGTCGGAGCAAAGAAATGCACAGGACACGGCAGATGCGTAATCAAATCACAGCCTCAAAATAGATTTATTCCCCCGGTTGCTAAAACAGCAGCGCCCTCTTTTCCTAACCCCATCACAACTCTCACATCCTCTGACAGCATGCCACTGTCTGTCTCTGGTGGGTGGGTCTTTTTTGGATTTTTTTTTGTGTGCTAAAATCGAAGGGGTGTTTTCTGGGTTACCCTCAATCTAAAAATAGCATCAGCTGTAGATTTATAATGCAGGATTTGAGGAGGAGGGTGCAAATGGAGGAAGAGGGGGAGGTAAGAAGAGCACGCTGAGCCAAAGCGAGGCATGCGTTTGGAAGTGATATAGGAAGTAGAAGAAGAAGAAGAAGAAGAAGAAGAAGAGGGGTTATGAAACTGAAGACTGAGTGTGTGATGCGGGGTAATGCGGACAGAGCAATAAGACAAGATAAAACAGGTGAAGATGAAAAACATCTCAGAGACTGGTCTTTAAATATCCCCAAAGACTTCCTGCAAGAGATCTCGGTGACACGATGTCCTTATTGTTGATCCACTCCACTAACCACCACCACCACCACCAACCCCCCCCCCCATCTTTGCCTCACACCTTCTCCTCTCCCTCTCTCTCATGTGTGCGTGTTTGTGTGTCAGCCCTCTCACCCTCCTTTTCTTTATCAAACCTCCATTTTTTCCGAGGCCTTGACACTTACCCACTGCTGCTGCTGCACAAAAACACACTTACACCGAGACACAAACACACACACACACACACACACACAGTGGAGGCACATGCAGGTAAAAGAAAAACACAAATAAACACACACATGGAAGACAGTTGCTCATGCAGACAGAAAAAAAAAAAAAAAAAGGCTGAGAGTAATGCACACACTCATACACACACACACACACACACACACACACACACACACACACATTCCCCTCAGAGGCATGGAGCTGCTCTGATCTAGTGGTGTAGATGGGGAAACACCCACCATTTATGCAATGAAATGTTAAGACTTATGAAATAAATAAAAAATTGTAGGCATAAATAAGTTGATAAAAATCTGGCTGTGTAAAATATGAGTTCGTCTCTTTTATAGTTGAAAGCAAATATATATATAAGAAATACAATGACGTGATAAAGATTACAACTGGGACATTTTTGACATATTCTGGTTCTTTGAATATTGATGAAAGCACAAACAGGGTACAAGAACACAATCAATCGCAGCTAATGTGGATTTAACGATACTTGTTGAATGCAGGCTAGACGCTGTATTTTTGTCTGTCTTCCTTTTAGAGCTGCCCAATGAAGAAATGCGCTGTTGTTAGACGGGATAAACGCAGAATAAAGCCACCAACATACAGACACTTATATATATATATATATATATATACACAGACACGGGTAATACTCACTTGCTTTTGGTTCAGGTTCGTTTCGAGCGCGTGCAGAGACACGCACATCAAGCCTACAGATCAATCAAAATGTAGTTTTTCTTTGTTAAATCTCCCTTTGCTTAAGATTTCACAGAGTATCCAGTTTCTCGCAGGCATTCAGATGATTTGTTTTATTTTCCCCAAAGAACGATTCTAAATAAATCAACATACACGACTGCACGCGACTGTTGCTTAAAAAAATCTCGTTATTGCCGATTGTTTCTTATAGCTTATGGTCATGCTGATGATGGCAAAGGGATGAGTCTTTTCGGATGAAATGAAGCAAAGGTCCCTCTGAAAACTGGCTCTTTTTTTTCCCCTCTTTGCTATTTTCCTCGGTTTCAGAGCCCCTCTCCCACCTCTTTGTTATTGCCAAAAATAATTGCCAGCCTTTGTTACAGTGTCTCTACGCTTCCAGGCGCAGGGTGTAGCTACCATTCAGGTCTTCCTCTGTCTCTCCCTTTTTTTCCAAAAATGTTTCAATGGAGATGCCTCCCTCTCTCTCTCTCTCTCTCTCTCTCTCTCTCACTGAGCCTTTTTCCCTCACACTGAGCCACTCTCTGTTCCTTTCGAGGAGCGTCACCTTCTGCACTATTTTTTTCCCTCAGACGATACATGTGGGCGGATTAGAGAAGAAGACAGAGGGGTGGGAGGACCCCGGTGAATACAGAGGCTAATTTCTCACAAGGCTGCTGAACTTCACAAACACATATGCTGCGGAGAAAAATACACACAAACGCATATCTTTATGAGGTAAAAAAAAACAAAAAAAACAAAAAACGTGTTGATTCAACGCTATGTGTCTTAATTTTCTCTCTCTCTCTTTCCCCTCCTCTTAGGCTACATTCCCCACACATGCTCACTCTGCTGGACGGACGCACAAAACACCATTTTGTCTACAGGTTCCCAGCCTTGGCTGACATCAGCAGTCATGTGGTACAACAGAGGAGCAGGTGGGTGATATGACACAGTGTGGAGTAATATGTCCAATTAGAATAATACTGATAACAAGAAGAAGAAGAGGAGCAGACACTGCTCTGATGGAGTTATCTTTGCTCTGAAGGCTGCAACGAGACAAGCTGCAGGAACAGCTTATCAGATCATTCACTTTTATAAAATGTCTTGTTATTTGGATCTTTTTATATTTGCCAGATAATCTGTTTTCAGCATAGCGTGCATTTTGTTAAGAGGCATATTACAGTAGAAGCACAACCATTAGCTATGTTGCTGATGCACTTGTCGGCAGGAAACTCTTTAAACATCGCCTCATAAAAATTACAGCAGCAATAAAAGGGCAAAAGGCCATTGCTTAAGTTTCCTCTGACCACAAAATGTTCTCCTAAGAGCAAAGTGCGGACAGAAAGAGGATGAATAAAGTAGGAAGACAGGTGGGCTTTTTAAAAGTGCATTTCATGTAAGTGTGGAAAAGATTGATACACTTTCATTTAAAGCTGCAAAGGGCTGTTTGTTAAACAAACACATTGCATCTATAATTTTCCAAAGTTAGAGCAAAAACAAGCTGCTTTCAGAGCTACATAGTCCTCAGAGCCAACGTGCATGTGTTCAGACTGCAGGAAAACCTTCAGAACATTTTTTTTAACAAGCTAAAGGTCAGACTTCTCTGTGCTGTGAGGACACATTGCTTAACACTGAGCCTCTGTACTTTCATCCACTCTTTTTGTCAGAGCATACAAAGATGAAATGAAATGATCTGTTGAATGTGGAAAGTGGGACAAAGTAATGTCCTTAATATGAGAACAAAATGAGGCACTGAATTGCATGGAAGACACCCCAAGAGGAGCAGCTATTCTAGATAACAGATCTGAGGGTTTTATGTGAGCATTACATTCACTCACTTTGTCAATTTGAATGTTTTCTAACTTTGTTCTTTACATTATCACTGCCCTGTGAGTCACTGTTTGGCCCCTTGGCAGCTACATGTAGATTGTAGATGTCACTCTAAACATGAGCTACATTCACATGAAAGTACTCCAGGTTTTGTAAAGCTGACTTGTCTTTGTAGGCTACCTATTATTAATGTCCACTATTGAGGACTCCATATGGCTTGCAACCAATAACTACAAGTGTTCTTGTATCTGGAAACAATACATAACTCTATTCTGTACACACCTCGTTCATTTACAATCCCCTCAAACCCCCGCAGCCCTTTCAAGATTCATACAGGTGTTGTACTCAAGAATTGTGAAATAAGTCTATCTGTTCCTGATAAATGTGAGGGATTCTTTAACCAGCTTGGATTACATTTTCCGTACAGTTTGTCTTTGTAATGAAACAACTTGGAGTCTGCAGCCTTGTAGAAGCTCTGAAAATATGCACTTTGGCACTACAATGCTGCAGGCTAATATTTTCATTCTAAGAACCACATGCCAAAAAGGTCTCAGTTACAATGCTGCATTCATATTGACCAGGATTACTATTGGAAATGTTAGCATGCGTAAATTCTAGGGTTTGCAAATGGTTACAAAAACAGAGTGCAACTGAGGATCATGGTACACAAATGAAAGTGTCAGAAATGTTCAAATGTTGACTTAATTATCATGCTGGAATGGATGAACAGTCAGGAGATCCTTCTCCTCATTCATTATTTTACATATAAGGATCTTAATTATTGCTAGAAAATGTTTGTGGTAGTCTATCCAATACACAACGAAACATTTCATTACAAACAAAAAAAAATGTCAACCAGCTGTTGGCGCTGGAGGAAAAGTCAAGAGATCCCAAAACTCGGGAGGAAATTTCTGCGGAGCATAATTTATCTTTCCAAAATTTCCTGGAATTATTATTATTATTTTTTAGTATATTTCATACAGCAGGAATGTGCTGGAAAAACCTTAAAGTAATATTGTTAAAAGGCCTACATCATCATCTATAGAGTATCCAGCTATCAGTGCTAAAAATGCATTAGCGCTACATTCATTAAGAATTTAAAGATTGAGAACTCCATGACATATTTCACTCCAATCTCTGTTTGAGTTATTTGTAAAGCTCTTTAGGATTTATTAGAAATATAGGTAAATTGAGCACATTTCATTCTCTTGAAGGTTACATTCTTTGCAACAAACTAACAGTAGATTTGGCCTGAGCATTCAGACGAGCAGGGAGTCGTCTACAGAAAAAAAGCTGACAGTGTTTCTTCGTCAACCCGCCATAAATACTGTATGTCCAACTTAGTGTGTTCTAACAGCGAGCATTAGCCGACTCAGACACATCCACGAGCAGGCTCTTGGCGGCAGCATGGTGCGGCTCATGCATAAGAAAGTAGAGACAGCGGCAGAATGAGGAGACGCCGTGAGATCACGAGAAGATTGAAGCAGCAAAAAGCAGAACAGGGATGATAGAAACAGCCTACTGTAAGTAGATTCTGTACATATGGTATATCCACGGCGATGTGTATGTTTGCACATGTGGGGTGGTGTCAACACAAAGAAGCACTGGCCTTGAGGATGCAAACAATATGGTAGACAATGAGAAACTGGTGGGTCAATAATTTGTATTGATGTTGTCCATCACTTACGGAAATTCAATTCAATTCAATTCAATTCAAAAAACTTTGTTTGTCCCCGGGGGGCAATTCAAAGGCACACAGAGCAGTAAAATAACAACAGTGCAGGTAGACAAAACATTTTAACCTAAATATAAAGTGTCAATTTAAATACAACTTAAAGCTTGAACTTAACTTAAAATACAAAATATAAAAAGAGTAGATATAAGTGGACAGGGATCGGACTGACAGATGTAAACAGATGTAAACAGAACTATGTGCAGTAAACGAGAAATAAATATATATATACAGAGCTATGTGCAAGTAGGCAAACTAAATGATAAGTTAATAAGGTGCATGGTGAATAATGGAACAACAGGATTAATATATACAATATAACTGTAAAGGTAAATATGAGATAAATAAAGTGACCGTAGTGCAATGATAGATAAGAAACAACAGGAATAAAGTAACCAGAACTGGATGAATACTGAAATAGAAAGGATAGAATAAAGTGGTGTAGTGCATGAGACCAGATAAAGCAGAGGCAGTTAAGGTGCACGGCAAATAGGAAGGAAGTAAAAAAGCAAAGTTCACAGCTGAGAGTCTGCATTGGGTGAGAGATGTTGGTGTCTGTTTTTGTTTTTTTTGTATCAAACAGCGTCCACTGACTTGGAGTGGTGAAAAATGACCCCACAGAGATGAGACCCTGAGAGATCTTCAGGTCTGTAACACATTTTATGTTTAGAATAAGAAGGCTGCACTGGGACATAATTGGTTTGGGTGTGAGAACAACAAACAAGACCCACAAATCAACTTTTGCAGAGCTGCAGAGCACACAGGAAATGTCAATATTGACTCTAATCACCTTCGAGACAGAAACAATGTGCAGCAGTATGGAAGACCGTAAGCTACATTTTATTGGATTATGAAGTCAGAGGCATGTTAGAGAAAGCAGTGATGCCTTGAGTCCCATCATGAGATTTGTTAATGTGTGGATGCAGCCCTATTAACATGTCATTTCCAGCCTTGCAGCTACCAAGACGAAGATTCCTGCAAGCTGCTGGGCAAAACCACTACAGAGCTACGTGCTACTGCTTTATGTTTCAGGGACTATTTTCTGCAAGTCACTGCTACTCACAGATGAGCGTATGGCTCTCACATTTAAGAATTTAAAGACAAAAACAATGTCTTACTGTGTAGATTCTTTTAAGCTAAGGCTTACTTAAACCACAGCTCTATACAACACTACATTCCTGTATAATTATTACAAACAAAAACACTTTATTTTGGAGGGGTCTGCAGCTCTGGCATACGACTGTACATGATGTTCTTCCAGATTCAGGCTGATATCACAGCCAACGATCACACAAACCTGAAAATGATTCCTAAAGGCAATAGAAAAAAAAAGGTGATGTGAAAAAAAAAAAGACAGGAATGTTTTCCTTCACATTTTAGCCAAATGTGTGATCAGTACCATGTTGAATAGATGTGTTCTGTTCACCTGTGAGCCCTTACAATAAGGTAATAGATGACGCATTGGATGAGTGATGATTGGAACAGTGTGGTTTGATGTGTTTTGTAAAAGAAGTTCAATAAAGCTGTGGTGTCGATTTAAGTTCTCTGGTGTATTGACTCATTATTCATACTCATTTATAATTGTTCTGATATATTCTGTTCAATAACCATTTGATAATGTTTGTTTTTAAAGTGTGAACTTTCCTTTGATCACACTCAACACATCTGAACTAAGAGAACATCTCTGGAAGGAGGGCAAGGTCCCAGCGTTTATTATTTTTATGAGCCAGAACTGAGCAGTTTCTTATGTTGTAGAAAAAATGTATCAAGGATTTTCTTTTTGCAGATTTAGTGGTACCAAAGCTGAACCCGAACATAACATTTGACCTCTTATTCGTTAGCAGAAAGGACTCTTATGGACTATTTGACCTGGCCTCAGTTTCCTCTCATTATTAATCTTTATACCCAATTATAAAACATCAGAAGCTTATAAACACTTACTTAATCTTCTAAAAAATGTCAGCTTTAAGGTTTCATGTTAAATATGGAAAATACATGCAGACTGCAACGTCTGTTGTTGTTGTTGATTGCTTACTTTGTTGTCCATCGTGTGGTTTGTAATAAAAAAAAGAATCAATTCAAGAGGAACAATTACTTTAAAGTCCTTGTTTTGACCATCAATCCTCAGTTATTTAATATGCAACCATTTAAGTAATTATTTAAAAAAATCTAAACCCAGCACATCCCCAAAATCATGAACGTTATCAAGAGTGTGCCTTATCTGACAATTAAAAATAGTTAAGTTTACACTTAAAACATCTTGTTTGTGCATTAAATTATATTTTGAATATGATAAAATGTCACCCTACCCAACAGTAGCACAAGTATGGCTGCAATCATCACTGGAGTAACCAATGAGAGAAGAGTAGTGAAGAGTTTGACGTCTCTATAATCTAGAGGAGGAGAGATGAAACTGAAGACTCAAACAATAAGAGTTGAGCTTTTTGTGATTGAGTATAATTAGTGAGTGTATTTTTCTCAAGAGTCCAGCTTTGTACAATAAAAAACACCTGCTTCACATACACACGGGTAAATTAAAGATGTGATAGGAAGTGGTAAATATTAATGCTCATGTTATCTCTAACCTTTATGGTTTATGTTAAATAGAACTAGTGTAACTTGTGATGACATGGTAGGACATCTTCACGTATCACTGATTTTTAAATGAGTCTTTCAATGATTTTCTATCTCCTCTTTGCACACAAAGAGTTTTGTTTAAACTTAAAGGTAAATAAATACTGAAACTAAAAACTGCATTTTGTTCTGGCAGTTCAGTTTTTAGTTTCAGGAAACGTACGGGGACTAACGTAGATTTTAGATGAACTTCAAACAGTACAAATAATAAAAGAGTAGATCAGTGCAGTCAAGCGGGGATCCTTCTAGAAGCCTTCCTGCCCATTCAGTTTTTGAGATTTTCATTTTTCGTGGTTGAAGTCTCTCGTCTGAATGTAGATCACGGTGGTTTCCAGTTAAGTGACCGAAGCTCATCTTAATGCAGCGTAGGGTTCAGATCATTTCAACTCGTACTGATTGATGAAAAGAAGCGCTAAACTTCACCTTGTAAGTCCGCTTTACGTGTCATCTATTCAATCCAGAACACGTGTGAATCTACTTCTCATGAAGCAGGGGTACGTTTAGTGAGTCTTTTCTTAAGCCTCCCTCCTTAAAAGGCTGCTTTTAGCTTTCATTATTTATCGCTTTAACAAGCCCCCACTCATCCCGAGATGTTCTTTCAAGTTAAGATAAAGAACAGCCTTCAAACGCAGATACAGAAATTAGTGTAACCCGTCTTATTAATAGCTAAACCTCATTTATAGCTAATATGATTATTTCGTTAACATTTTATTCACAGTAGGATAACGTTTATTGCCTTGAATAGATTTTTTTTTTTTTAAGAATTATGAAGAGCTGAGTCAGCTTTGCACGTCACCTTTTTTTCCAGAACTCTTTAGAAATCTTGACTGTGTATAATGTTTAATTGAAGTCCCATCTCTCCTAAATCCTGTGATAGACCATTTGAGCTTTCCTGTTGCAGTATGGATGACACAGCTGTACCAAAACACTCAAGTGTTACACAGAGAAGAAAATCTTACAACACCACACGAGTCCATCCCCGAGTCCGAAGTCACGCCACCGTGCCCTGTGTTGCTTTTACTTTGCCAGAGGACAACACAGCATCTGCCTGAGCTCTATGTGGAGTAGAATGTAAGAGCCTTGAGGCTGCAGACCGAGGGCGGCAGCTACATTTCTGCTATGCAGGACACACTGTGCATCAGCTTCTCAGCAGCAAATCACACTGACACACTGCAGGCACACAGGGAGTCTAAATCCCTTACTTCAGCACCATGGCTGAAACAAAAAATCAACAGCAACAGTGAGATTGTGTAAGATAATTATTCTCAGTTCTGATGATGTAATAATGATATTAAAAGTGTATTTACTCTGGCAGGACACTTTCACTTTTGTAGGTAATGTCAACCATGCATCACATTTTTGTAAAGGACATCACAGAATCAAAAACATACACATAGTTCGCCTTCCAATATTTAAGGATAACAGGTACTCTGCGTGAGTGTTTGTTTGACCAAGATAAAGAAAGCTCTTCCTCTGAAGCCTCCAGTGCCTCCGAATCAGGCTCAAACACTGAAGAACTTCATTTTAGAGTCTTCTCACCAAGGTTGGAATTGTACTATAAAGAAGGGAACGAACACAGGCAACGAAGAAGACTCAAGAAAACCCTGGTAGAGAACTGCTCAGCTTTGGGAAGAACCGATCCATCTGGAAGAAGTCTCACAAAACTCAAGTCCTATTCGAACTAACTGCGATCCACAAAAAAACATTAATTAAATATTTAAACATCTCAGTGAGCATTGCTCTGGAAACCAAATCCCTCTGCTCCATTAAGAATCCAGTTTGAGGCCGAACTGGGATTCATAGATTCACTTGGAGAAAACGTAATCAATGGTGAAGAGTTGTTTAAACAGAAACTGTAATAAGTAGAACTGAGTATCTCATGCTTTATTCATACTGTTTTAAAACACAACTTTTAAGGCAACAAGGAAACGTTTGATCACGAACCATGACATGAGAGACCAGAATTCTGAGCAAACAGTTGATATAACGAAGCTGGGACCAGAGCGAAGGAAACCAAGCAGCTGAGTGTTAGTGGGCGACTGATTTGGAGATCTGAAGAGCCCTCCATGGAGGAAACTGGATGGCTCGGGATTGGAACACCTGCCTCCAACAGCAGGGAATTACATATTTGGAGTTCATATTTGGACATATTCAAAGGGGGAAACGGCTGAAAGGATGCTCTAGTACATTTGTGTCCGTTTGTGAGTCACAGCCTGAACACGCCAGGATTTGTGTCATTCTTTAGCAAGCTTTTTAGACTCATGAGAATCAGTCAGGAACCTCTCAGTCATTACTGATCCCCACACACAGTGTTATGAATGCCACAGGACATTACAACTGGTCACAGTAACAGAAATGGGTGATGAAGGGGTTGGCGCCTACGCTAAGCAGCTTTTTCCAAGGT